AACAGCTTTAAATAGTAAAAATAAACTTGTGGTTTAAATAAAAAAAAAAAAGAAAAACTGTAAAAATAGCATAATAGAAAAACAGAAAGTTACAGGTTGTTTACACATCGTCCTGAATATATTGTGAAAAATAGTGAATCTGTAATCTATCGAGCCATACAATAATCTATCGAGCCATACAATAATCTTTAAACATATTGTGACACTGAAAGGACCACTATAGGCACCAAGACCACTTCAGCTTAATGAAGAGGTCTGGGTGCCAGGTCCATTTAGGATTAACCCTTTCTGCTGTAAACCTGCTATGTTTACTTTAGGGTTAATCCAGCCTCTAGTGGCCGTCTCATTGACAGCCGCTAGAGGCGCTTCTCATTGACAGCCGCTAGAGGCGCTTCTCATTGACAGCCGCTAGAGGTGCTTCTCACTGTGATTTTCACAGTGAGAAGACGCCAGCTTTCCTATGGACGGACTGACTGCGCACGCGGCTCTTGCCTTGCATGTGCATTCAGCCGATGACGACCGAGGGAGCCCGGCGCTGGAGAGGGACCCTGAGGGTGGGGGCACCCTTGTTTTCCTGGCACTATAGTGGTCCTTTAATCTAACATATCATGGCATATAATAATCTATAAATATATTGTGACATGTAATAATTTATAAGGTATTGTAACCGCTGGTGGTTCCCTTATTTACCACTATAATGTCTTAAAGCATAGAACTTAGTAGGGCTAACCATACAGATATCTTAGCCATAATTTTATATAGTGTAAGAGATCCTCTATTTAACATATATAAATAATTGAGAATTCAATATAAAATAAGGATTGTCTTAGAAGCAAGATTGTCTTTTTGGATATTTATTATATAGAAATATAAAATCCATTATAGCAGAGTTTTTTAAAGATTAAATTACATGCTTGCAAATATCATTAATAGGTTAACATACCCTTCTGAACATGTCATCATGTCAGCCTCTCTGTCATTTTAAGATGGAGCAGCGTCTGTCTCCAAGTCTCTCCTCTGTGTCTTAACATTTAAAAGTACACCTATTTATACCTTAGGTGTCTCCATTCTAAGGTTACTGTAGTTCAAATATGAAAAAGTAACACTTCTTTTACTTTATTCAATTTAGGACCTCCCTTAATTTGGCAAACATACAAGGCCATAACTAAAGGGTGTATACGTCATGGAAATTTTCCTGACTTAGTTCAAGATGGCATCTTAAAGTCTGAATAGGTTATCTGTTGTTTATACTAAGTCGTAAGTGTACAGTCGCGGGAGATTCCAGGATTTGGGGAAGTTCCATTAACTTGGGGTTACCACAGTATATTGTGTACTGCAAGTGTCGTAGTATAGCCTTGAAGCTTGTTTATGCATTATTGTTATTGTAATTCGTCTGGGACAAAATGGTGCAAACATATTATGCACTGAGGTTATTGCTTAAAGAAACAGTTAAGAAAAACAATATGTTCCATTTCTAACACCTTGTCAGTTTGCAATATCTCTTAAAGACAAAGTACACAGTTTAAGAAATACAACATTTCATTCTAAAACTTGTAATATTTGCATTTGCCCGTAACAGTATCATGCCATACAAATAATCTATAATGTATCCCGACATAATCTATAAACATATTGTGGCATAATCTCTAATCGTAGCGTGACATATTGGTCCCCCTTCCATACACTGTTTTACGGAAGACGTATCTTTGAACATGCAGCTTAACCCTTTCTGTGCTTTAAAGTGTCAGTCACTCAGGAAAATAAGTCCCAGATGGTTTCCGGTAAGATTTGTTCCAACATTCTGTATTTCTCAGACGCAGACAAACCCGAGGCCATTTTGTGTATCTACAAGACAGAAAATGACTGTGTAATGCGTTTTACTTACTCCGAGGAGGCGAGTGGCAAATCTGTTCTAACCGCGCTCAAAGAACCAGGTCAGTGGACGCAGATACGAATCATTTAGAATAATGTTTAAACACGGTGGTGACACGCGCTCTCTATAAAGTCTCAGGTGTATAGAATTGCTAAATTTAGGCCAAAGTATCATATTTGGAAACGGTTCTCCTGCTGCTACAGCCCAATGTTACAGCTCGGTGTTTAGTGAATACATGCGTTAGAGCCCAATGGAGACACAGTTAAATATGAACCGGTGACGGGTTGGATGAACGGAAGAACCTTTATGGTCGGTAAGTGTGAACCCGTATTGGCCAAATCTCCGGAACCCCATAAGTTACAGCGCTTTCAATGCCCCTTAGTGAGTTTATATGACGGTACACAGTGTTTCCATATCCACGTATCATAATTTCTTGGTAGTATTTATTATCAGTATTTGTTATATGTAGTTATGTACACTTAGAGGATTTTACTGTTGAACGATGTGCACAGAATAAGGATGAGCTCTGCTAATTCTTTGTGTTATCCCCCAATCTATTTCCCTAGAATGCGCCACGGCTCCCAATGTACTCATGGTCCTGCTGGCGGTTGTGGGCAGTATTTTACTTATTGGGCTTGTTCTCCTGGCCGTCTGGAAGCTACTTGTTACTATTCATGACCGCCGCGAGTTTGCTAGATTTCAGAGTGAGCGAACGAGAGCCAGATATGAAATGGTAAGTTCATAAAGCACCAACGTGTAATAGTGCAGTTCTGTGGGTAAACTGTAGCATAGACAATCCTCTGTAATTCTCACAGCCATAAGCTGAACATTGTGATTAATAAAGCATTGGAAAATGGAGGGAGGGTGAAACTCGCCACCCCTGCTCACTGTATTAAAGGGGAGAGTTTGAGACCTCCGTAAATAAAACGGCTGACCAGAGTTCTATGTTGCCATATGGATGTAATAGTGGTAAGTGCACCTTCCAATCCCTGTAACTGGCGCTGCTTCCCTCCAGTGATCACGTCCTGCACCACATTCAGGCCAGTAATCGCCCAGCAAGATTCTGGTCACTAACCAATTATATCTTTATTACCAACCCAAAAACTACAAATTGGCTCTCACTTTAAAAGCTCCTACATGGCCGTTTCCCATCCCACCTAGGAGAGCAATGACTGCAGGCGCTGGGATAAACTTGTTATTCACTAACTGGAATACACAAGATGCCATAAACGGGCGAATATTAGATCACATTATACAAGCAGGAAAAATATCCAGTTTAGATTTTTCAGAGTAAAGATGCAATTCCCTTAGCACTTCTTGGAAAATCTGTTTAATATCTAAACCCAGTGATTCGAACCCAGGACTGACCGCTCGCATAACATGAACAGTTAAGGCCCAACCCTCTGCGCATGTTTGTAACAGATTACAGCACTGAAAGAGTTAAACAGAACTCCCGACCCAATCCTTCTGTGTTATAACTTCTCTTTCTTTCTTATGATTTAGGCTTCAAACCCCCTGTACCGGCAGCCTATCTCCACGCACAGCGTAGACGAAGTGTTCAGCATGCTGGGCAAATCCTGGACAAAAATTGATAGTGTTTATATTTAAACCTTTTTTTATTCCCAGAATGATGTGATATTTTTAGATTCTCCAGAAGCCAAAGGGTTTAATTGAAGCACAACATTTTATACATTCAGACAACTAGATGCCAGTCCTTCGGTACTTTAAACTTAACCCAAGAAGACGACTGATATATTTTAACCCATTGTGGGTGAGACATGGTCGCTGTAACGTGTGCCTGGATTCATACATTTGGGTTATTTTTAGCACGATAAATATTTTGGATACAAATGTATGAATTTAAAGCTGCAATTTTTTAATAACTGTAAATTAATAAAGAATTTTTTTTTCCATTTAAATGTTCCTAGTTTTTATTAGTTTTGTGTGTGTGTGAGAGTATTCTATATAAACATTTTGCGTGTGTTGTATAGCTCCCCTTTGCTTAGGCTGTAATTCCCATAATTCTATGCTTTCCTTAAAGGGTGCCTGTCATGACAAAACCAACTGTATCTTACATGATTGCCAACACATCTATACATTTCTGTAAAATTAGGTTAAAAACCAGCCATTCCCACCCGGTCAGTCTTTGCCAATCCGCACAGAGATAAGAAGGCTGAGCACTGCTTATCGGGGAATCCCTCCGCTGGGCCTCAGAAAGCATTGCCTGCAGGGGAAGGAGGGATGAGCTGCAGGCTTTATGTGAGAGTAGCAGCAGCTGCATAGATCTCTTGGTTGATGTTACTTCGAGAGGCAGTTTGTGACTCTCTAGTGAGAGGTGATTTATAGACTCTACACACTGTAGCACTAGTCTACCAATCTGAGTATGTGTGGTCTACCACTTTGTGACTTGATCTTAGAGGCTCCCATTTCACAGCAGGCTGGGGCAGACATGTCACAAACTGACTTGTGGCATCCTATTACAAACTCCTCTTTCCAAGTGAGTTTGCCACGAGCTCCTGGAGAATCCTGCTTGCCAGCCTCCTGCCCACAGACTATGGACCCCAATAAAATGTAATGTAAAAGTCTCCATTTGTGTATTTGGACTATATGGTTCAGGAACGACCCTGGAGCTTGTTAAGCCTAACTGATACTTTGTAGCAATTTCCACTGCAGTGCTCGTCTGGGTGGACGCATTTCCTATGGACGACCATGAGGTGGCAGGCACTGGTGTTTGGTCGTCAAGTTCATGGAACTATTTTCGGACACAAACTCCCCGAACACAGCTGGACTTTCATGATCAACTGTGTTCGGTTCTACAACACTTAGAAAGACACTGTTTGGTGGAAATGTTCCCATGAACAAGAGAAACAAGCTAAGGTAAGAACATTGACTGTATTCGGTTTTTAAACTACCAAACTAGACCGACTGCAAGCCCTGATTCTCTGGAACGGTTTTGGGCATGGGACCATGCGTGCGGTCAAATTATGACTTCCAGGAAATTCCTGAATGGATCTGGGTGATTTTTGGATATGTTGTTGAGCCATATTGGGGGAAGGACTTCCAGGGTTGAAGGGTCTGACTGACTCGGGGGGTTACCCAATTCAGATACAGAAACCAAAGCAGCAAATACAGAGTCTGATACATCTTTAATCATCTGACAAAGATACTTTTATTGAAAATGTCAAAGCTAAACAAAAACTACTTTGCCCCTTTTTTCAGATTGTTTTATTGTGGCGCGCAGTTTGTAATGTTCCAGAGCTCACATTCAGTAACCAGCTCTGGATAAACTGTGTCCACCTCACCGCAATGCATTGTCTCCTTCACACTGACCGAACAAAACACGCAGTCATGTTATTTTCCTAGGTTTGTAAAAGGTGAGGTCTACATAGTAACCAGGTGCTCCCCTCGGCTGTAACAACGCCAGGATCTAATGCTCATTACATGGTGTGCGTTAAGCCACAATTACAAAAATGAAGACAGAAGCTTTAGGAATGCATTATGACACCATCACCCAGTACTGATCTGTTTGAGTTGATGGCAAAATATAGAAAAAAAAAATAATTGTATTTTAAGAATTCAGAAAATGTGTGTTTGAGGCATGATGGTGGGATACTGGTTCAGGGCTCAGTCTTTTCAGCTTTGATCCTGCTCAGATAGGCCTCCCATCCTGCCGCTCTGTAAACCTCAGCAGCTTCGAGGCGATTGGTGGCTGATAAGATACCTCTCCCCACAATGATGATGTCAGAACCCTTCTTTGCAATGACATCGTTAGGGCTCTGATACTGCTGCCCCAGATGGTCTCCTGGAAAATGTAAAGAAACAAGTAAAAATAATTAAATTTTAATTCCCTGGCCTCAGCAGCTACCCCACCTTGCCAGAAGACACATTTAAGTTCAGATGTAGAAAAGTAGCAGAAATCCATTTTTTTTTCTAACAATCCCTCCATGTTGTGTCATAGACAGCCAGGTTATTTCTCCAGTCTCAGCACTTTCTGATCACATTTTCAGAATACAACGTCGCTATGTGTGGAATGCAGCATTCACCTTTATGTGAACGGCTATTAAAACATTACCGACTTGTTAAACTCATCTAACGAGAATGTGCCAATGTCATCCAACGAACAAACTACTGGGACACAATGCCACGCAGTCAGCAAAACCCACAGAATCCAATATTCAGGAAGCAGAGGTTTTGTGTATTTAAATTTCCTGTTAAAATAATTTTCAAACGTTTAAATTGTAAAAGCACGCACCTCCTGCCTGCAGCTGTACCCCTGGGGTTAAATGCAGCATCTCCGGCTTTCCACTCAAACGGCTTCCCGAAATGAACCCAAAAACAAAATCTGGATAATTCTCTGCCAGTTTCACCTGTAAAAAACCCAGAGAGCGACAGGAAGAAGCAGTGCACAAAATGCAAAGATTGATATACACAAGCATTACTTATCAGTAAACCTGGTAACATGGAACAGACAGAATATACTGGGAATAAGACGGAGCAATCCGCTCCCAGTCCCATCATTTAACCCTGAGCTCCTGGGGACATGGAACAGACAGAATATACTGGGAATAAGACGGAGCAATCCGCTCCCAGTCCCATCATTTAACCCCGAGCTCCTGGGGACATGGAACAGACAGAATATACTGGGAATCAGAAATCAGACGGAGCAATCCGCTCCCAGTCCCATCATTTAACCCTGAGCTCCTGGGGACATGGCCAAACAGATCTTACAAAGGGAAGGATGACATGAAACCAAAGGGCTTGATTGTAAGTCCTGGCTGTGGATAGGTCGAGGTCTCCAATAATTCACTATTACACACTTACAGCTTCTTTTGTATAGTCTCCAACTGCCAGTGACCCCTGGGAACTCATTTCAGCAATCACAAGGCAACCTCTTCCTAGAGCGAGGCCAGCTTCCCGCAACCCCTGCACCACGCCGGGGCCAGGCACAGCATGGACATTCACCACATCCGACCACGAGGAGATTCTATAAATACCACCTGGGAAGAAGAAACAACAGCAGGTTAAACGCTTCTCTTTGTACGTTAGCTGCCCGTCTTTCACACATTACCTTCATACTGCTGTTTAACGGTGTTCCCAATGTCTGCAAATTTCCGATCTTCAAACAAGAGGAACTCGTGGAGATCCGCGATCGCTCGGAGCCGAGAAGAAACATCTGGAGTATAGTCATTCAGGATATCCACGTGGGTCTTTAACATACAGACTGATGGGCCCAGCTCTGTGGCCAGCTGAAGAAGCTCTGCAGAGCAAGTAACGTCGGCTGACACACACAGATTGCTCTTTTTCTTTTCCATAATTGTGAGGAGTCGGGATGCCACCGGGTGAGTGTCTGGAAGCAATGCTCGGGAAGAGTAAGGGAGATCCATAACGTGTTTTTTGGTCGGTACAGGTTCCCGTGCTGTGACCTTATTGTCGCGGATGAATTCTTTGACTTCCTGCACCGTGCCCTCACTGACCGCCCCCAGCGTGTGCAGTATCTCCATGAGCTGAGTCAGGGTACAGACAGAGTGTAGTCGGATTCCATTTTCTGCCAGTTTCTCGCTCCCACCCTGCTCTCTGTCCACCAGCACAATGGCATCCGTAACCTGCAGCCCCTCTCGCCGGAGGATCTCTGCCGTCTCCAGAACACTGGAACCGCTAGTCACAACATCTTCAATAACTAAACACGTGTCTCCCGGAGAAATGGTGCCTTCAACCAGTTGCTTCGTTCCTACAAATAAATAATAAAATTATCTATTATAAAATCACATACACACTAAAAAGTTACATTGAAACATTTTATTAATTGTGATCAGTGACAAACTAGATATACAACCCCGTCATTGAGATAAAAATTAATCTGAACTTCACTTGTTTTATTATCAGCCAATATGATGGATCCTTGTGCTTCTAAAATGGGTCCGACGGCAACAGTAAGTGATTAGTTGGGAAAAATATCCAACAGAAATAAATTGACAATAACAAATGACGGAGCACTAAGGATTTCTGGGGGATTTAGCGTTGGGGTCAGAGGCGGCTCTCTAGGCGGTTTAGGTGGCTGCTTAAGGCTCTGTGCAGCCTGGGCCTCGCGGCCGCCTAAACCTCCTTAGGGCAGACTGTGCCCAAGGACCCGACACTAGGAAGGGGCCCTGCAGCTTGCTCAGTATGCCGCCGGGTGAGAGGACCCTCTGTGCAGTCTGCCCGGGAGGAGAGGGCCCGAGGCTGCTGGTCTGTAACTCGCGAGATCTGGCCTATCAGAGCATTGCCGCAGGTTACCACAGCAACGCTCTGACCGGGTCTCGTGACACACATGGTCTGCAGTTCTGCACACTGCGGAGCTGCAGACCGGATATCACCACCGGACTACGAAGGAATTAATTGATTTGTGGGAGTGTCATGGGTGTGCTTGTCTGTGTACATAAATGTATAAAAGCAGGCCATCTGCTTTTATACAATTGTGTATAAAAGATCGGCATAACTGTAAATTAAAATTATTTATGGCAAATTAAGCTACAGCTACAACCAGAGAGCTCACAATGCAGGGGCACAGGAAGCCGTGACACTGCGAGCTTCTGAACAATGAATGCAGAGACTGACTCTGTATCCAGCGCTGCAAGTCCGCCTTTCAACACAAAATACAGCCCTGTTATTTTATACTTTGGGTGTTAGTGGGGCCTCATGCTTGAATTTCGCCTAAGGGTAACATTGGTGTAATTTGGGGTGAGAGGGTATGGTGGCAGCACTGGAGGTGCAGTTTTTCTGGTCTCTATCTAGGGCATTAAATCAAATGAATTCTACATAAAATGGTGGCTTGACAACCTAATTTGCCTTCTGTGAAAAGCTATGTGGATTTCATAGAGGGTTTGGAGGAATTTGGACAGAATACCAAACTGATAAGGTACTGTGACCCTGAGTGGGTTATCTTAGCGTTGCTCCCTCTGGTGGAGAGTCTGGGAATCGCTCTCATTTCATGGCCCACTGAAGCTAATTTGACACTAGTTTTGGGATCTTAAATAGTTTTACAATATTGGACACTGCATCCAACCCAAACATATTGTAGGAAAAAATAAAATCTAACAAGTGTTTGGAATATTGCCATTTTATCTCAGGAAAAAGAGGCAGAATTACCTGATTCGGGAATAATGTGAGACGAGGCCGTAATAGAACCAGCCCCGTATAACGTCACAATACAGTAATATAACCAGCCCCGTATAACGTCACAATACAGTAATATAACCAGCCCTGTATAACGTCACAATACAGTAATATAACCAGCCCCGTATAACGTCACAATACAGTAATATAACCAGCCCTGTATAACGTCACAATACAGTAATATAACCAGCCCTGTATAACGTCACAATACAGTAATATAACCAGCCCTGTATAACGTCACAATACAGTAATACCAGCCCTGTATAACGTCACAATACAGTAATATAACCAGCCCCGTATAACGTCACAATACAGTAATATAACCAGCCCTGTATAACGTCACAATACAGTAATACCAGCCCTGCATTACACCGTGTCCGGAGTCCTGATGGTAACGCGCGCTTTTCTGCCATTGGTATTAACACCGCTGCAGTGATGGTAACACCCCAACTCTCACCATAAGCTTTGGCTTCCTTTCTCCGGATCAGCATCGGCAGCTGCTGCTTTGAGCAAATGATGGTTGCAAGAGGTAGAGCGGTATACGGCACTCCACATACCGACTGGTATCGCAGGTCAGCATCCTGAGCGGTCTGGTACAGCAGGTCAGCAACCTGACGGAGAGACGCAATAAAAAAAAACAATCAGCGCCAACTGAAAATCTACAAATAAAACATAATAAACTGCTCTTCTGACGTCACAGAGCGGTGTATAATAAATAGCTCTGCAGACAGACGTCACAGAGCAGTGTATAATA